CCGAATATTATGGTAATGAAAAAATGTCATAATCATAAAGCTAACAAAAATAATAATAATAATAATGCCTTTACAATCATTAATTATCGTGCGTTTTAGTTGCGTTTAAATTAATTAATATGCAAACATTTGTATTACGTCAATGCGATGCGTAATGCAATTAATTTTTGAAGTTCTCTTTCACGTACATTTTGATAATTCTTTTTTTATTGCAATTAAACACAATATCTAGAATTAAAAATTAATTCTTTTTTCTTATATTTTAAAATAAGTCCAAAAATTTGACGATTTATATTCAAATAATGTATTTATCTTTTTTTCAAAGTTTTGGTAGATGAAACCACATGCTTCTTGCTAACTTTGTAAATTTGATAGCAAATTCGCATTAAGCTTGCTATAATCTCGTTTTATCCATAATTCCTCATACTAAATATGCAAATTTCGGATGGACTATAACTGGCGTATTATTGTCAAGCTACTAGTTTGAATATATTTAAAGCATACTTTTGTTCTGCTTGCTATAATTTCGTTTTATCTACTCATTAATTGCAGTGGTTCTGGCTATTTGTTGTTAGCATTAGATAATTATAAAATAGTTTCAATAATTGCTTTTTCTGTTATTAAAAAATGTAATAACTTTTTGTTTTGCGAATTGTTTGAATCTAAAAAAATTTGTTAAGCACTCAGAGGAAGAAAACTCATTTTGCTTCTTATTTTTCAAGCATTCAATAAAAATTTGAATTGTTTACAGTACAAAAAAAAGTCTATTCAAACTTAATCATTTATTTTGCCGTTTATAAATTGGAAGGTTGTTATTTTTGTCTGCCAGATGTCTAATTGAAGGTCATAACCTTTTAGTTCAAAACTATATAACCTTTGTATAAGCAGTAATTTTTTCAATCTTTGGCATAATAATTGCGTACTATTTTTAAATTAAAAATTGTAAATGAGTGGTGACAAGTAGCAGAAAATAGCTTTAAAAATTTATTAAAAGTTTCATTAGTAATTTTTAATGCCAAAAAATAGCAATAATTTAAATATAAAATTTACTTACTTTTTGGTATTAGCATTCGAATTGTAAACATTTCATATTCATGACAGAATTAATTCAAAATTAATTTGCAGCAAATTATCAGTTCAAACTGATTAAACTTCACATGTAGTATCCTTTGACTTTTCACTTAATTTACTTTACTTTTTCGTATTAAATATAAGTAATACAAATGTTCTTTTTAAACTTGCGATGTCTTATTAATTATTGTAAATACTTTTCTAAAATTTTTAAGACTAATCTTAATCCGACTATTGACTACTTACTTAATAAATCAGATATTCGTTGAATTAATCAAGCGTTGTTTTCGAATTAAAAGATTGTGCCTTCTACTCATAAATTTGATTAAGTCGCTTAGTACTAAATTAATAATTTATAAAATAATTCAAGATCATGTTCATGCATCTATCTTTAAGATCCAAAAGGACAAAGGTTAGGTGTAGAAGTTAGCATTTTTAGTTCAAACCTATTTATTCAGTTTATCACTTTCTTTTTTCATGTATTAAACATAAGTTAATCATCGTTTTCATTTTCGATATCTATCTGATCTTTTACCGACAATGTCATCTTAATAATTAAATTTGTTTATTGCTATAGTTGTGCAATAAATTGTATCACGCAAGTTGTATTTCTATTAATTAGTAAAAGAATTATGCGAAGGTCACTGCCGTTATTTTCACGTTACAACGAAAAATTCGCCAACTTTGTGAAAATTATTTAGACTGAATTTTTCATTGAAATTTAATTGTAAATAATTCAACAATTAATTTTAGTAGAATATTCATTGTTTGAGAGACTAATAAAAAGCTGCTTAGACAATTTTAATATTAACTTTTTACATGCTAGAAATTGAATAATTTTATCATTTAAAAATTTGTTTGAACAGCATATTAGTTAAGTTTATACTTATTTTCAGTGCCTTATTTACTTTTCATGAAAATACTTTGTGATACTACGCTGAAAACTATGAAAGTTTTGTAATAAGCGCTTAAATCAATAATTTTATCATGATATTATTTTATACATTTATTACGTAACATATACAGTAATTAATTAAATGCTTTTCAGAAAAGATTAGCAGCTAATCATCATCTTAAACAAGTAGAAGAGAAGCAAAAAAATTATTTGCGTCATATTTACTTGGAAATAAATTGGACAATATTTTTCTTTACTTTACAATTTATAATAGAATAGATATAATAGAAATAACTGTATTATATTAAAACTGAAAGTGAATATTTATTTGCAAAACGATATATTTAAATATTAAGTACTGAATTTTTGATAATGATATTAGTATGCCTTTGTGCAAATATATCTATTATATATCTCTGTATAGATATTAAATAATATCAATGCTAATTTTAAAATTGAAGTATTAATATTTAATAAGTTAATTTTTGAATTTCCACAGTATCCATTTCGAACTTTTTGTAATATTTGAAAATTCAGTTGCAAACTGTGCAAATTGTTCAAAAGTCTTAGAAATAAGTTGCAAAATTTTCAAGCGAATTCATTATCAATCAGTGTGTTGGAATGCATTTGGCTGATATATTTACTTGTGTATTCTCTCAAAAACTATGCAAAGTAATTTTCAAATGCTATTTTTTCTTTTAAATGCGAACAATTTGAAAGTTAAATTTAGTAAAAGCAAACTTGCAATGCTTTAAAATAGCTGAAGGAAAGTATGAATCGATAGACTAAAATAAAAACTGAAGCATAGCAGTAATGTGAAGCAAAAATAAGATAACAGTGTGAGTTTTATTGATTTCAATTTGTTTCATGCATTTATGCTTTTAAATAGTATTTTACTGACCTTTGACCTATGTTTTTATTTTAATATATATTTAAAATGTTAGCATAAATTTGTAATAAGTGTAAAATATGTCAAAACAAGCAATAAATGATTAGCATATTTGAATGAATTGTTTACTTCATTAATAATACTTTTAGTTGTAAACTTGTTAGACAGCACTGATTCACTTTTCTCATAACTAAAGCAAACTAATCAAGTAACGATTTTCCATTGCAAGTAGTTAATTCTCTGACTTAAATTTGAAATTATTGGAAATTGAAAAACTTTTGACATAAGAAATGTCCGTTATGATCATTTGCTTTATTACAACAGACTAGATTTTTTGCCGCAATGTCATCATTTTCTCGCGCACTAAAATTTGACATTTTTCTCACCGCTATTATTATTCATCATTTATTTATTATTACTATTATTATTATTATTATTATTAATACTATCATACTTGTTTCCTATTATCACTATTATTACTATTATTACTGTAAAGAAACATGCATAAATAATTACTTTGTCATTGCAAAACTTGAAGGGTAAATAGTAAGAAATAATGCAGTTTCAATCAAAAGTTTTCTTGCATTACGTTTTCTACGTAACTTTTCTTACTTCTAAATCAGTCTCATTTTTGTTTATACGAGGAAAGCTTATGAATTGTTGTGAATCTCTTGTCTAACAGAGTGTATCATCAACAACAACATTGCAAGGCTTAAATTTTAGTTAAAAGTTTGAATAATTTAAAAGTTATATACTATTCAAATTTTCAACAAAATACTTGGCATTTTAACTAAACTAGTATCGATTTTTCAACTTAGAATCATTACTATTTGAATGGTCTGATTTTTAAGACTATCTTAATCTGACTATTAGACTAATCTTAATCTACCTATTATTTACTTGTCGTTAGTCACATTTTTTGCACAAAGTCACATTATTTTATGAGTACTGTACTATTTTTTGAAAATAACTTGCTAACAGTTCACACATTTACATTAAGATTCAAATACTCATTAATTAATGTTATTTGTTTTACAAAAACTTTTGATAACAATAATTTTAATTATGCTTCTAAAAATTTACTTGAATTCAAATGCATTTGAAAATCATATATTCACAAGATGAATTTAATTTCTGAAAATGGCACAAAAAAGCGACAAAGAAGTAAAATTGGTAGTAATTATCTAAAATATAGTAATACTGAGTATTCAATTATTTAAAGTAATACTAAATAGTAGTCATGCTGAACCAGTCCGATAGACTAGACTGCTCATTTTTAGCAAATCCTCTAGTACAGATTTTTTTTCCTGCTTTTTGCAAGTATTTAATTTCATATTTCATGTACGATAACTTCAATGTTGTGCTTAGTTCTATTCGAGTTTTTACTTTTGTTTAAATATTTTAGCAAGAATGAGGCAAAGTTATCATTACTGCTTGTTAGCAAATTGAATGAGTAATTGTGTAAATATTTCCTGCGGACAATCTACAAAAATCTAAACGGATTTTCACTGATTTGCTTCATATCATATCCGTCTCGCAATTAGCTAAAGCAAAGTTTGCTACTTTCTGAATAAAAATATTAAAAAATTGGAAAAGAAAAAAGTAGTTAATTTTAAATACTCCAATGAAAGAGCTCGGATTTATTGTCTTACTACTGAATCGTTATTCACAATCGTTATTATGTTATGACTGTTATGAGATGGAACCTTCGAATGAAAAATGCACAAAACTGAGAAACTGTACTGGTGAAGCATGTATATTATGTACGTTTTCATATTTGTTAAATTAATTTGCTACTTTTTTAATAGTTTAATTTTAGATCAATTATTAATGAGTAATTAATATCAAATAAAAAGTGAAGAAGAGAAGATTTTTTTTGCTACAGAAAAAGTGGCTAAGAATAATTGGAAATGAAAAACAAGTTTAAGATAAATTAAAAATAGAAAATAATCCTTTTAAAGGTCAAATATAGTAGTAGGATTAAGTTTTTCTACGAACTATAGCAAAGATTTAATTACTTATTAATTTTTTGAGTATATATTTTTATAGATGAAGACAGCAATATGTTATTAACAACAGCATTTTGTTTGCTTAATCTTCCTGAACATTATCAGAATAGAATCAAAATAACTGATGCTGAATGTTGGATGGAGACTAATGGAAAAGGAATACATTGCATATGCTCAAAAAATTTTTGTAATAAACTTCGAGATCGACGAAATTTACAAAATAATAAGTTTATTACTTTTTTTAATCAATAAGAATTGTGTTATTTTATCAAATAATGTTTTTGATTTCGAATTCAATTTCAATTATTAAAATGAAATTTAAAAAATCACTGACAAAAATTTTTTTCAACGTAAAAAATTTTGGAAAATTTAAGGCTACCAATTGCAAATGCAACTATGATCAAATTGAATCCGTTGATTGATTACAATTATGACTACAAAGTTGGAGATTTCAAGACGGATTTCATGAATACAAATGATGAATTTGACGATTCCTCAAAAGGTTAGTTCAGTTTGATTTTCTGGAAAAATCACCATAATGATTAATTTATGCAGTTTAAAAAATAAAATACCAATGCAATGCAATTCAACAAATAATATATCATTCCAAAAAATCAAATAATTCTGCAATAATTTGAATTGCTCAATTTGATAAATGTAACTACTAATTTTATTTATTACTTTCATAAAAAAGCTAAAAAATTATCACGCGCAGATAAATTTCTTCACACACATTTATATAAATTTGTGCATAATTTTTGACAGATTTTTTATAAAACTCAACTAAAAGGAATTAGACAAAGTTGTCTATGATACGCATGTCTTTGAGAAAATACAAGTTATTTAAACAGGATAAATGCTTACGCAAAAGTAATAAAAATTGTAAGCTATCACTATAAGTTATTCTGTAGTTTAGACTTCTGCAAAAACAATAAAAATTAATAAAGATACGATAGAAAGAATATTAATAGTGCTTACATGTTGTCTGTAAATTTATTAATCTAATTTACAAAATAACTTACAGTAATGCAAAAATGAAGTAGTATTTTCTTACTTAACCATAGAATAAAATTGACTAAATCTTTATTTTCTAAAATCACAAGTGAGCTAGCTAAAATAATTATGATGTTTGTTTGATCGAAGAAGCAAGCACAATTTTCATTTACGAACTGACTTTTCAATCTAAATTTTCAGAAATTTTCGTATTTTAAGTATTAATTTTTATGTCGAATTTTAGTTATCAAAATATCATTAATGAATGAAATTACCATAAGCAGTAATTAAGATTATATTGTTTTTTAAAAGTTTCGAAAAAAATGACAAAACTTTTATACTCTGAAATTGCTTGAAGAAATACAAGCAAACCAACGAACGTTTTATTAGGAATTGAATATAAAAATATTACATTTTAATTCACTATTCACTGATTTTTATCTATTGACTGTATTTTGTACATTTCCGCGGTAAAAACTTTTTTCGAACTAATTCTGTAAACATTATTAATTACTTAAATAATTTATCAACTGTATAAATCAGTAGCAGTAATTGATCATAAACATTAAACTCTTTCAATTTTCGCTGTGGTAATGTCTACAATTATTTTTAGAATTGATTCCAATAGATTTCGAAAACTATGACCATGAATATAAACTTAAAGTAGTATCAACGACGGAAGTATCAACAATATCAACGTTAACATTGTCAAAAATACCATCGTTATCAATATCAGCATCATTTTTCACAACAAAGCAGCCTACTATCCAGATTGATATAACAGACTTTGACAGTGATGCTCAGAATGTAACAATTACGGAATCTGAAACGCAATCTTCTACTTCTAATCATGATTCTGAAACAATTACTCTTTCTACTAATAATGCCGTAGATGGAAGCAACAAAAAAACACTCATGAAATCATCCCGGCGTTACTCCACCTGCCCTACGTACTTCATACTTATATTTGCTCTACTTTACTGTTTAAAGTTTTATTCATAAATTTATGTGTGCAATCAATTATGAATTTGAATATGCAGACTGAAAAAGCAAACTTCTTTGGAGATCGACATCACCGATCTTTGACAGAACTAAGAGCAGTTTCAATATTTATCAAACAAATAATCCCCTACGTAACTACAGAAATAACTAGTATATTTCGTATCAGAATTACTTAAAAATTATATTTATCAGTTCTCACAACAAATATTACTTTTATGAAACCAATATCAAAATTAACAAGTAGCAGTAGTCACCACACTGATATTCTATGTTACTCAAATGATTCTATTTCGGGATAATTCGAAAATCATGCTAAGTGACTCACAACGAATCCATCATATCGATAAGACCAAGATCTTTGTAATTATTGACAGAAACCACTATCCTACAAAATATCCCGCATTATCTACCGAATTATCTGCCCATATACGCCTTCCTCACTTATCATTTCCCGCCGTTTTTATGCTTATTACAGATTGCTGTTGTATTTTCTTGTCGTAATTCCTAAATCAAAACAATTATGCAAAAATTTTTTGTCGGATTTATCAATTATTTTAATTAACAATAGATGTAATTACTAACAACTACAATTGTAAAATTTACACGGTCATAATTCTTGTCTCAAAATTTGAATTTCTAACAAAGATTGTAAATAAAAAAATAGAAATTTTGTCTGCCAACATTTAATTAATCCAACTTCGAATTGATTCTGAAAAGTTAAGAATAGTAACGCATAAAAAGTTTCTATTATTAATATCAAAACAATGCAAATGAAAGTTTTGATTTTGCAAGAAGTAAATCGAGCAAAGATTCGAGCTTTATATACATCAATTTTCGTTCTCATATTATGACCCACAACATTTTTCAAGGTGAATGCTTGTGTAACATATTTCACTTCACATATCTGAATGACCAAATTCTATAATTTTTTGAATGACCAAATGACCAAACTCTAATGACCAAATTTGAATGACCAAATTCTATAAATTCTATAATTTTTTGCAGCATAAATTACCTCAGAATCTGGAAATGCAAGCAAAAATATTCTCACGTAAAGTAACAAACAACTGATAATAACAACCGAAAGAATGTACCGGTGATTATCAAAGAAAAGTAAAAAGGTAGGAAATAAGTTATAACTTCAAATACCTTCTGAACGCTGTCCAATATAAAATTTTTTAAAAGTTCAGATGTTCATCATTTAAACTTGGCAAAAATGTGTAGACAATATTTAAACCATGTACAAAAATATAGATAAAAGCTGATATAGAATATATCTGCAAACCACAGTAAATGATGTATGAAGAACTTTATGCAGATAATATCTTGTAAAAAAGTAATTTTTCCTTGGGAACATAGCTCTTAGCGAATCGTAAACCGTTTTCAGTGGGACTACTGAAAACAATTCTGTTTCGTGGTATCACATCAGATCTAATAAAGTTTGTCCGAGCATGATCTAACAAAACTGCTGCAATACCTTTGCCACGTAAAATTTGATGGACCCAAATACGATTAACACCCATGTGTAAGTCATCACTCTTATAAATACCATTTTCGGCCTTAAAAACTGAGTAGAAGCAGAAAAACCATCATGACTTGACAAAATATGCATGAACTAATTTTAACGTAAAACCTGCTAGTCCAAAATATTTACTAGCAAATATATGTTTCAAGATAATATAAGCAAATAAAGTTATTTGAAAATTTCAGTCAAGTAGAAACTAAAAAAACCTCTGCCCAATATATTTGCTTTTCCGATACTTGTTCTACTACTGCTACAGCACCAATGAAATAACAGGTATCCAGAGCTGTAATATATACCCAAACCTGTCTTCTGCCATCTGAAGTCCATATCTGGGCTAAATCCGGCGCATAACCCAACTCCTGATTAATGCACTCCAATATCACCTGAATTATGAGATAAAGAAAAATACAAAAAATCAACAACTACTATTTTTGAAACGCCGGCTTCGTAACGAAATTCAGAGGTTGACAGTAGAGTTTTGATTCAGTAACAAAGCTGTAGGCCACCTTAGCAGGCACAATTCATTATCATTAATGTTAGTGCAAAATATCTGCTATACTCCAAATTTTATTCTACTCAATTTACTGGGCATATTTTAATTTCAGTACTCAATATAGTGTTGTTTTGATGAACAATAAAATAGATAAATTGTTACGATAAAAATACCTTGGTAATGCGAGTTTTTAACGTAGATTTCGAGGTTTGCAGAACACAAAATGTATAGCTATGCATTCCCTGATACTGTTCAACAATGTGGAAATCAAACCTGAAAAAATTACTCTAAAATCAAATATTCTTTAATATTATAGATATACTGTGGTCAGCAATAATGTCTGATACATCGTGAATTCATTTTGAACTTTACCCAAATTTACTGCACATAATTATATTTGTACTCAAAATAGTAAAGAAATTCATACCTTTTCCAAACATTTAATTGCGTAATTTGCACACGAAACCATTCAGTTGATTGAAAACGACCGTGAAATTTTCGATGTCGTTTTAGATCACATAATGAATCGTAGTCATAAATCATATCACACTGAAGAGTGCTGCACATCTCATAAAAATATTTCAAATAAGTCAATTTAGAACTATTCTTGATTTTCAAAATTCATTCACACGAAATTCGGAATCAGCCTAAACTTCTAGATAACCAAACGGCTGATTCATGGTAGAAAAAGGATAAACACAGACAGAATGAAATCACTCAGGGCATTTTGTTGGCATACTGACCTCTTTACAATGCTGACAACCAAACTGCTTCTGTCCAGCATCCAAAATCATTTGCCTTGAATCATCGCGTAGAGTTTTTCGCCGTTTTTTTACACCTTCATTTCCACAGAATATAACTGAACGAACAACTTTCGAACAAGTGTTATCTTTACTCATTGATGATGATGACGGTTCACTGACAGGTAATAGCACATGTTTATAGGCATCTGCTTCGCAGCTTATATTTACAGCAGAATCTAGTTCACAGTGCGTTTTAAGAGCAGAATCCGATTCACAGATAATACCTGCACCGGAACCCGAATCCTGATTTTTCATAGGCAAACAGAAGTCGGTTAGCAATCTCTGACGCAGAACTGACATTTTTTTTCGCTAAAGTCAAAAGTATTTGAGAAATAACACACATTAATTTGTTAAGAATTATAAAAAAATTCAAATTCAATTACTCAAAAACAATGTCCTACTTTTCATAATTATAGGCAATATCCATAATGCGTAAATGGAACTAAATTATTCAGAAAACAGTTGAAAGGTAAAACTGACATAAATTGAGCCGGTATAATCTACCAATGAAAACGAATATGGTATAAGTTTTAATATTAAAACAAAAAGATCAATGCACAAAAATAAATCAATGTTTTTGTTTAGTCTGCTATATTCTAGAATTTACAAAACGAATAAATTACTAAAAATCATCCGTCTGTCGGAAAGACTTCGTAATTCTTCAAGCTCACCAATGAAACATGACAATGACTGAATGAATGGAAACAAAAAATATGAATACCTTTTAAAATCAATCTTTTTTACTCGTACCACATGATTTCAGAGAAATGATAGAAATTAACGAGGCATGAAATTACACCATAACAATTCAAAAACTTTTTATTCAACAATTCTGGAATCACCAACAAGATGACAACACAATAACTGAACCAAGAATGAGATAGCTCGGAGTCAACAATTATCTGTGCTTCGTTTCCTCTAAAATAATTTAGTTTTGGCAATTAATCTGCCATCTGCAGATAGAAAGCTTACTTACAGATCTCTACTAACAAATCTAGTATAAAACCACGAATACATTCTTCCCTATGCACTTGCACTTGCATTTCAAAAATAAGACAAATACTTTTTCAACTCCGATATGATCAAATTTAATCCTAATTTTTCCCTAAATCAGATTACATTTATTTCACTTGTAATATTACAAATTAAAAAAAAACAAATCAAAACCTTCGCAATCAACAAAAAAGCAAATGCTATATAGGATGAATTCAATTCCTGAAGTCAATTATTAAGCGATGAGAAAATTATTAATCACATGAGAGTGTGCAAAAAGTACCGTTTAGATCAAGGGTTTCTTCACCTGTTTCCATATCCATTACTAACCTATCTTCATCTGAGGAAATAGAAACCTCAATTCTTTTTTCTATACCACCACACCGATCACTAACGCCAGTTTGAGTCTGATCATTATCTATCTCCATGTCACTAGCAGACGCTTCACTCCTCATTTCTAGATCATCGAAAATTTCTTGACCAGCATGAGTTCGTCTCTTAATTCTATAAAAATCAGATCATTTACATATATCCAAAAAACGGAACTATTTAAACAAATACAATGTACAATAATTGAAGTTTATTTATTCTACACAAATCGCTTTCGACTTCATCTAAATTATAAACTTGAATCCCTTGCATAACATATTTACCATACTTCTTACATTCTTGACAAATGCAGAAATAAACATTTACAATTTATTTTTGCTACTAATTAATAAAAGCAAATATAAAAACAAGACTTGAATGATAGAAGAGTTTCATACGATGTGATACCTACGTGGATTCATTTAAAGCACCAGTTTCTTTATTATTCAATAAGCAGCTCTTCTTTGTTTTCTCCGAATGAGCTGAAGGTTTACTAGAGGCTTGTGATTTATGGTTAATCGATTTTCGATGATTTCTAAATAAAACTACGTGAACGAAAAGTTATTACTAAGTTTCAAAAATAATGTTTACATAAAGTAAAAATGACTCAAAAGAATTAAAACTGAAAAGCTACATAACATCACAGTGTATCACAAACCAACAATCCTTTTCAATAAATTTATCAATTAATAATTAATGGATATTTCTTTCCGATATTTATTCAACAGTTTTTGAAGCATGCTTCAACTTTCTTCGCTATTTCTTTCACATCAATATCCAATTTAATATACTAATAATACAAATAAACATTTCCTTTAACTACAAGCTGAAAATTCAAATACTGACTTCTTCCTTTTCTTGAAACAACGCAGTAAACTAATAAAACTTTCTTCCTGAAACCTCTTTTATTTCATCGTGATGATCCGATCACTTTACTAAAAAACCCCTCAAAAGACAGCAATTTACCGAAAGAATTACTGAACAATTCCACAATAAATCATTGTCTCGTTACGATTTTTTCGAAAGTTTGTTTCAATCACATTTCCTTGCTATTTCTCTGAACGCTACCTAGATAATGATGAACTTGTGCTTGTACTATTATTAGATGATGCTCTTTCTTTGCGTGAGCGAAAATCTGAATGACGTAGTCGACAGCGATATGATGAACTCGAGCTGTACTTCGAAAATGATCGATGGTACGAGTGATAACGTTTATAGCGATGGACTGAACGAATCTTATAACTAGAAACAAGAGATTTAACATGCATCGTTTTACTATAGTATCATGCAATTGTAACAACTAAAAACAAATCTTCTCTCAGATTAAAAAACACACCGAGGTCGAACATAATGTGAATAATTTGGACATCTTAGTTGCATGTCTGTTCTTGCTAAAAAATAAACTTAATCAGACTCGATTCCGTGCAACGAAATCATCAAATTACGCACAACAACAAAATTTTTTGGGAATTTTTTTTAAATCAGAAAAATAATAATTATGACTTTATAAACATCACATATCTAAAACGAGCTTAAAATAATGTCATAAACATGAAAACTGATAAGATAATATCATTAAAGACATTCTTCCTTTATAATATTTCAATATCAGCATTTATACAATTGGAGTAAATTAAAATGGTACGAAAGACATTGGATGTGATGCAAACAGAAAAAGAGTAAATTATGAGTGCTCAACATAAAAATTGGTAAAAATGATTTAAAGAGAACAGTGACCAGATGAATCAAAGTTCTTGTTTTATTTTAATACTTTTTACTGATCAGAAACTATCCAGGCAAATGTAATTTCAAAATTCTAGAAAAATTATGAAAATGAAATAAAATAATATTACTTTGTTGTCTATTAAGCCAATCAACTTTTATGCGTCTACCTAAGACATGAGCCCCATTCATCGCCCTCACAGCATTTTCTGCATCTTGTGCGAGTTCATATCTACAAACAGAAACTAAGATGAGTCATGGAAAAATCGTGGAAAGAATTTTAAGATGAAATCTAAATCAAGATAAAATATGTTGTAGCAAAACAAAGTTCAAGTAACTAAAAAAATGCTTACCAAAATGCACTAGAAATATGAAAAATATGATGCAGGATGAAAGATGAAAGAGAGTACTTTTATTGTGGCATAGTAAAGTAGTGATGAGAATATTTGGTAGACACAAATACAATGCTATCAAGAATAGCTTGACAGAAATATTTGAACTTGTATAATACCAATAATAATAGGATTAATTTACAGTGAATATGTCTCAGTTTTTCTGAACAGTCCGATCATTATGGTCAGTCTACATTACGAACATTCAAATCCTCGTCATAAATTTTAAACATTTTGTTACGCAACACAAAATCATTAGCGGGATGCATTCTCGTACATGGTAGCATTGAAGAGAATAGTTTTGTAAGCAGCTAAACTTCATTCAATTCCAAAAAGTGCTGCTATAAACTGAGTATACAAAATTGAAAAGCTGACAGAAAGCAAATGCAAAAAAAAAAAAAAAA